CCTAATTACAGGCTCAGTTAGGTCCTACCTATAGGCCCCTCCCTAGACTACGCCCCTAGATAAGCTAGGATCCGGGGCCTGACGCAACAGTCACGCGCTTCACATGACATTGACTAAAATTTTGAAAAAAAAAATTGAAACAAATTTTAAACATGAAATTAAAATGGGACAGTGCGTAAGAAAAATATTTTTAAATAATAAAATTAAATATATCATTTAAGAACTTGTCCTAAACCTTGTTAAATAGTAATAATAATAATAACGATTAATAATAATAAATAATAATAATAATAAATAATAATAATTAAATAAAAATATATAATTTCGCCATTAATTAACTTGGCTTAAGTCTTGTAATCAAGAAGCACTTACAGTACAATACTATTTGCTAGGCCTATAATTAACAACTAGGCCTCATTCATTTCATTGGTGCTCAGCTATTTTGGCAGGTCCTATGATGATGTCATCCGTTTTAGAACTGTCTATTCTCAGCTTTTCTTTTTATGTCAAAATAACTGTCACCCTGTTTCATTTGAACAATATTAAATGCTGTTCATTTCCTTTCTCTTTGTGCTTTCCTCTGAAAGCCGCCTTCTAAAACTGTTTTGAGTAAGTGATCACATTGTACATGACCAATCCAAACTCCCTGCCTATGCATACTTTTAGTAGTTCTAGGCCTGGTACTTATAATTATCCAAAACCTAGGCCAACTAAAAAACAAAAATGTTCCCATGTAACTCAAGTTCAAATAACAATTTTATTATTCGTGCAGCTAAATCAAATATTACATTTATCATTTTAAACGACCCATTAGTTATTAGCATCATGGCAACGTCAATTGCTTAACAATGGGCTGAAAGCTTCAAAGGAGCTTTCTTTGTTTTTGTAGGGTAACTTGGATCAGTAGGGTAAGGATGCTTTGATCTTTAGTTTAATCATAACTATGTCATCTACTAAATGTTTTGCTTGGTCAAACACTTTTGGTACTTGTCAGGGACGTAGCCAGAATTTTGAAAGGGGTGGGGGGGGGGGGGTGATGCTGTCTCTTATACACATCTGAGCCGTTATGCGAATTACGTAGGACACCGGCGGGGTCAAGGGGGTGAATCCCCCTGCGAAGTAGTGCACTCTGAACGTTCTTAGGACTGTTTGAGAGGATAAAGTGAAAATTGCAATAGACGCATTATAAATAAGCGCAAAAATAATTATATAATAAATAAACAGTGGCAGATGAAGGAATTCGAAAGAGAGGTGAACCAGGGAGGGACTTTCACAGACCGAGAAACCACCCACCTCAGCCCCACCATGGTTGGGGCTGAGGTAAGAAAATTTATGATTAGGGCATCTCTAGATGGCCGGAAATTACACTCGCACAATTTGAATATATTTTTCTTTATTTTCCCTTAAAAAATGAAGGGGGGGGGGACTAGAATCCATCTCTGCTCAAAACATTCTTTATCCATATATCACGAAAAATGGACATGAAAAACCAGATCACATCCTAAAAACAAACAGCAGTCACTAAGACATACATCAGGAGCCGACTCGATGGAGTTTAATGTCATACCCAGGGAAGGGCACAGATCTGTTTTAAAAGGTGAAGGGGAAGGGCATTTTGTGAGTCGACACCCGGGCCACCTCAGCCCCACAATGGTTGGAGCTGAGGTGAGAAAAATTGAGGAAATATTACCTCCAGATGGCCAGAAATGACACTTTTAGTAAAATTCATCATCATCACATCACCATTAGTCAAAATGAAGCGCCAAAAAAATTCTCATGTTCTTTTATCAGGGATTTTTGACAACCATAGAGATCTTATTAATGTGTGTGTGTATACCATAGAAAACAAAGCTTAAAAACATTGTCTTTGAGTATGTACTTTACATAGGCCTACTTCAAAAACTTGATTTCACGACCACCTCAGCCCCACCATGGCTGGGGATGAGGTGAGAAAATTTGTGGAAATAGTACCTCTCGAGAT